ACCTGCAAGGGCCAGGGCCAACCCCGCAAGGAGGTTTGCCGATGATCACATGCCCATGGGTCTGCCTCGAAACAACCCGGTCTTTGGGTGAGTTGCTAGAAGTTCCGGTATTTGAATCATTACCAACCTGTTACCAGCTCCATGCTTGGCCAATCAGTAGCCGGATTTCTCAACGTCATCCGTATCGTTGGTTTCCTTTTGGCTTCTCCAGCCAAGAGGCCTTCCGCTCGATTTGTTGGTTGCCGCTTTCTGTACCAAAGAACCAGTCCCATCGAAAATTGGGCACAGCTATGTGTAGGTTCCCGACAAGCTCGCCTCCACACTTAGGCTTACAAGTCATTTTTGTTTTTGTTTTGTAATATTTAGAGGGAACCGTGCATGTCCAACTTGGGTGGTTTGAACATCACGCATTAGGCCGAAGGAGTTTCCAATTGGAGATGTTCAAAGGTTATAAGATGGTAAAAGAACCTTGGTTCATTCTGTTCGTCCGGAGCGTCCAATCTGAAAGCCCTTTGCCAAACCAGCATTGAAGGGTATGGCTTTCGCGCATTCAATCAGGCACGAAAGGTGGTTTGCCAAAAAATCAGAACATGTCTCAAGAGTGGTGGCCCCGTCAAGTTGTCGGATGTCTTTCGAATTTTCCTGAAACCAACAAAGCAAAGAAACAACACCCTGACGCATCCCTGCCTGAGAGCCAGCGCCGAATTCGGACAGGCTGAGCCGACCAAAGTGGAGATGACATCTCACGAGGCGCGGTTTTTGATGGGGGACCCTTTGGTGGACATCATTTTGAATCCCAATGAACTATGCGCTTTCCAAAGGTGATGCGTGGTGTTCAGCAAGAAAAAACATATTCGACCACATGTTGTGTAGGTTCCCGACAAGCTCGTCCCCACCCTTAGGCTTACAAGACAGTTTGTGTTTTTGTTGTTTATTGTTTAGAGGGAGACTTGGGTGGCTTGAACATCACGCATTAGGCCGAAGGAGTTTCCAATGGGAGATGTTCAAAGGTTATAAGATGGTAAAGGAACCTTGGTTCATTCTGTTCCTCTGGAGCGTCCACTCTGAAATCCCTTTGCCGAATGGTTTTCTTGCATTTCAATCAGGCATGCCAAATAATCAGAACATGTCTCAAGAGTGGGGTCCCCGTCAAGTTGTCGGATTTCTTTCAATGTTTCCTGAAACTAACAAAGAACAGAAACAACACCCCGACGCATCTCTGCCTGAGAGCCGGCGCCGAATTCGGACAGGCTGAGCCGACCAAAGTGGAGATGACATCTCACAAGGCGCGGATTTTGATAGGGGACCCTTTGGTGGACATGCGCTTTCCAAAGGTGCGTGGTGTTCCACAAGAAAGAAATCATTCGACCACATGTTTGCAGGGTTGTATCAAGGAAAGAAATGGGGGACTCGTGGACTGCCACGCGCCAAGTGAGCTAGCAGGCAGCACGGGACTGGTTGGAAGGGGCTTTGGGATGGGAGACGGGGATGGACTTGGCACAGGAATCTGCCCCGTTTGCCAACAAAAATAGGTGTGTGTGTGTGTGTGTTTTTTTGGGGGGCCCCTTTTGGTTCCCCTTGATTTTTCTCAAAGGGGATAGATACCCTCGGACTCAAATGTGTTCCCTCCCTTATGGGTAGATGGTGTTCCTGGATTCTAAACAGATGTGTAATTACCCAGAAGCTCATGAGTCCTTGTTGGTCAGTTTGCTGGTACTCTTGTTTCACCGATCTGTGTAACCAACCTGGGGCTCAACTGGAAGATGTTGAGGATGGAGAAGATGCAACCACATTGGTGCACCGATCGATTGGATGATTTTGAAACCAATGAAATGGAAGATGTGAGATATCCAACGGACTAGAGCGGGAATTTGTCATCCAACTGTTTTCCATCTAACTGCTTGAAGGAGCTTGCGCGTGGCTTTGGTTCACTGGATGGGACTGGCTTTGGCGGCGCAAGATCCGAATTGGAATTCGACAGTGCAGATCCGGTTTTGGGAACGTGTTATTTATCATGTCTGTAATTGTGCCTGAATCTGACGCATGGTTGGGGCATTTGCCGGTCGAAGTTCTAGTTTGTGCTAGGTGTGTTGCGGCCTAGGTCCTTTTTCTTTGTAAGCTGTGGCTTTGGTATCGGGGGCTGTCCCCTGCAATGGCCTTTGAAGGAAGCTTCGAGGGATGCAGCGTGGTCACGGGTTTAGCTAAATGGCGCTTGAAGGAGCCGAAAAGATGCCAGGGTTGTGTCACACCAGCCTTTGTAGAGCAATGACAAACCATTTTTGGACAGCTGATTAGCTCAACACAACTGGAATGCACGCTAGTTGTTCAAACACTTGACTGGGTATGTCTTTCTTTGATGAAACTTCTTTTCATACCCAAACTGCCCCTCCCCAGTTCACGCTCACCCACGAACGATGCTCACTGGCTGAAGGTCATTGCTCTCTTTGAGACGTCGCTGTCGGCAGCCTTTACACTGGATTGAATATCAAAGTCTTCGACAAAAATATATTACGTTTCTAAATGATAGGTGGGGAACCCTGCCCGGAACCCGATCTCCGAACTTCGGAGCCTGGCAGACCACAAAGCTTGAGACCATGGTGAATTCCGATTGTACATATGGTAGGGACTACCCAGTACCCATGTTTCCCCGGAAGCCTAGAAGGAATTTCTGTTGCACGGGAACTAAATGCGGTGAGCTCTCCTTTGTTTCTACGGTTATGTTGGGGTAAAAACTGGTGCGCACCCTTTCTCGATGCGTCTTGAGCCAACGTTTCAGTCGGTCGCAAATGTTCATGAAATGTCGAGTGCAGTCTTCACACTCCCCCTGTGGCCTTTTGCCACACTCATACCTGTTCCCACCCCAAGGACTCTGAGGTCTCCTCTTGAGGTGGGTCAGGTTCGCTCCCAGTCTTGGGAAAAGAACGCTACCGGGCCCGCCTCAGCTCCTCGCTCCACTGGGCCACCCTTGACGTACCCCACCTCCCAAGTCCTCGCCCGAGCCGACGAAGACGATGCCTTCTCCTTCACCTTCGCGACCTCCTTCTGAGTTCCCGAAGACGGCTTCTCGTCCTTCTCCTTGATCCGGAAGAACGTGTAGCCTCGCCACTGTTGCAGTTTGGAGGTGGCTTGCCTTGCCTGCGGCGCGGTCCAGCTATCCTCCTCAATGCGCTTGAGGCCCAACCGCGACTCCCCGGCGAAGAGCTTCACCGTGGTTCGAGTTGACTCCAAGTCCACTGCATCCACCGGAAAATCCCGATGGATCGGGTGGAACCTTCGCTTCCTCGGCTTTCCATGAGCACGGATGGCCCACCCCGGCACCGACCAATCCCACTGGTCCTTGCTCTTGGATTGCGGGACCACCTTGTACTTCTCCAGCTCCCAAGGGGCCTCGTGGATGGTCTGGTCCTTGTCAACCTCCTTCTGCGGATTCGGCTTCGTCTCCTGCTCCACCCGAATCACCTCCTCCTCAAACTCCTTCATCCATCGCAATGCCCGAAGCCTGGGTCGAACTTGACGCTCACCCTGACTGCTGCTGGGCTCCTCTCTGCTCCTAGGGCGAGCCGGACCAGTGTTGCGAGGGTCGTTGTCATCTCGAGGGCTCCGGCTCCGATCTCGGCTTCCAGGGTTCTCATCGATCCCCAAGTCTGCCAGCGAAACTGTGCCCCTGAGCGGCACCCAAAACGTAGTCGAACCCGTCCAGGCATGGGCCTCCCGGAAGGTGTCCTGCCTCCAATTGTCGACGAATGTCCGTCTGCCGCGCGCCTGGTCAACGAAAACCACGTGGTTCAACCTCCGGTCTTCCAGCATGTTGATGTTCACCCCAGGCGGCATAGCTGCCGGATCCGGTTGAAAATCCCGGTTCCGACTGAGCATATGGATGCGGACCGCCACAATCCTCGTCTCCTCAAATGTCACTTCCCAAAAGTCCTCCGGCTCCGCCTCCGCCGAGTTCTGCACCAGCCCAGACGGGCGTTCCGGCCATGGCATGGTGGGAGCTTCACGCTTCCTCCTACCTAGTCCTAGAAGCAAGGGGCAGCCCATTGGGCAGTGGTCAAATGGTCAAATGGTTGACAGGAGGGGTCCCAAATGTTGACCTCTGGGGCTGGTTCATCTTCCCTAGCCCTTCTTGTCGTCGCCGGTTCATTTTCCCTGGCGATCTTCTTCTCTGTCGGTTCATGTTCCCTGACAGAGGCGCTTCTCCAAACAGAGGGGTCCTCCGGTGCGGTCGGTTCATTTTCCCTAGCCGATCTTGATTCCCTCTTGGGTTGGGCCCATTGGCCTTTCAACACAAATCCTACACCCACTCCAAGGGATGCCAAACAGACATCCCGGATCGGACACGATCCCCGATACTGAGGCTTCCAGCAGGCGATGATGCCCATCAGCCCACTCATCGCAGCAACCTTCACCGCTGCCTCCTTGCCGATAACCCGGCCACCATCTGCTTCTCCCGGTCCTTGCAACGAAACCACCTCCGAACCTTCCTTGATCATGCCCGCCATGGAGTAGAACCGAAGGGATTGGGTCCTTGCCGCCACCGCCTTCGCGAGGTAGTCAGCCACCAACCCGCTACCCGGCAAATGCCTGATCTGTCATTTCCCTTCTCGCACTCGTTCCCGCAGCACGTTGGATCAAGGCGCAAATGCCTTGTGCGCCACGGCCCCGAAGGACTTTGCACGATTGCCAAGGCCGCCCTGTTGTCCCCGTAGATTACCCGCTCAGCCTCCTTGGCGCTCCAGCATCCCCCTTCGGTGATGTCCAGGATGGCACAGAGGGGGTCTCTCATGATCATGGCCTCGATGTAGCCCACCAACTCCGCCTCTGCCGTGCTGAGGGTGCAAAATGGCTGCTGACCAGATTTGCATTGGACGAGGGCACCACCGTAGAATCCCAAAACTCCCTGGTGGCTCTTCTCTCCTTGCGGCGCAAAAGAGATGTCCCGCGTACATTTCCAGCCGCCTCATCGATCTCGCGAAAGGAAGATCCCCTTCTGCCCCTCGGTCTCCCAGGCAGCGCCCATAGACCAGTCCCAAATCCTTCGTGCCGTACAGGTATAGGCTATCATGTCCTTCCCCGCCTTCACGACTTCCAAAGGACACCGGGTGACATGTTGCGACATCCAGGAGACCCCGAATGCCACATCCGGCCTGGTGCGTACCGACACGCATAGCAATTCTCCGACCAGTCCCTGCGCCTCCCGGATGCCTTCTTGCGTCACCACCGGATCTTCAGGAACCTCCGGCTTGTAGATGTAGAACGGGGCCGGTTTGGCCATCGTCACCTCGTGACGCCGCATCAACTCCGAGATGTACGAGGGTTGTCCCACACGGAGAGTCTCGCCGTCCTCGTCCCACTTCAACTCCATCCCGCAGAACTTCGTCCATCTTGTTCACCCACTCCGGCGTGCTGCAAACCCACTCCTGATTGATCCTCTTGACATTCTCCACCAAGGTCGGTCCCGCCAGGAAGTCGTCCACGTAGATCTTGCCAGCCTCGCTCTTAGGTTCTCCCCCGATCCTGCCAGCCCGCTAGCCCTTGTGGAACGCTGAGTCTGCCGGACTGGATCCAAGCCGTACATGGCTCCTTGAACCACCGCTCCGCTCTGACGCCTTGACAATCCCAGCCTCCACCAAAACCTTCGGGGGTGTGATGAGAGTCCGGGTCTCCTTCCGAGGCGCCAGCAAGAAAGCGCACTTCACATCCACCATTGCCAGGGACCACTGTTCGTGGGCTCCTTTTCTTAGAACGCACCTCAGGGCCGTCCCGTCGATACCCCCGGCATCCGCGCCACCTTGTCCGCCAGCAAATTGCCACATATCACCGCTCTCGCCCTCTTTCTTCCTGTCGGAGCCTTGATGGTCGTGACCAGCTTCCCCGGGGCGTACTCTGCATCTTCAATCCCCGGAACCGCCGCCAGATCGCACTCGTCGATGGGCTTGACCACCTCCGTTTTCACAAGGGAGCGATACTCGTCCATCATGGCCTCCCTCCACACTTCCAGATCCTTCCGCACTTCCTGCAAGAGTACCGTGTAGGTTTGCAAAACCTTCGCCGGTTCTTCTCCGTCTCCTCCTTGCAGTCCTGCCAACTCGTGGAAGTTCTTATTCTCCTGGTCCTGCATGATCACCAGGTCATCCTCCAGCTGGTTGATGCCAAGGAACTCCATTGCAGCTCCTTGACCATTCCCAGACTGGTAGCTGCTCATGAGGTTCTTCGTTTCCTCCAGGCTTCCTTCAAAACTCCACGATTTTGATGGAGAGTGTACTCCCCCCCCGTTCGCAGTTCACGTAGAGCGGGTGCCAGACCTTCTCCATCTGCTGCTGGATGCCCTTCTTCTCCGTCTACCCCCAGCTTAGGGCTTGGATCCAGGCTTTGCTTTCCTGTCAACCGCGTTCTCGGTCTTTCTGGGTGTTCCTCCATCTCCAAGTCATACCTCACCCTTCCCACCTCCAGGTCCCTTGCGTGGTCGGCCTCTTCGTCGGTCAGAACGGCCGCCCTGGTGTGTTGGATGGCCCCGTCTTCTGTCTGAACCACCCAGCCCCAACTCATCATCGGACTGGGACCCAGTAGGCGTACTTCTCGAAATGGAGAAGCCAGGGGGCCCTTCTTATGCCACCGCTTTGTCTTCGCCATCACCTTGGAGTAGAACGGGAGCATCGGAGGTGTCCATCCCAAGTCTTTGGAGTTGCATCTGGTTCCTCTGGAGCACCACATGTCGCAGCGCCGTAGGCCACAGTTTCACCGGAGGTTTTGAGTCCTTGAGGACCACTCACAACCTTCTCTTTACCTGGTTGACCTCCGTCTCTACTCGTCCATTGGCCGCGTGGTCATCGCCCGCCGTCATGGTGAGCAACAGGTTGTGCTCTAAGCACCACTGCCGCACCGGCTTCGCCAGGAACTCCTTCGCCCGATCGCAACGCATGCGGTAGAAATTGGAGGCTGGGGAGCTCAAGAAGATGACCTTGGAGAAGTGAAAGCAGCACGTTGGGCGGGGGCACACTCCGTTCAATAGAAGGTGCCGCATTTGCATGCAGGAGGCTGGAGTGGGCCAGCCCCATCGGAGATTGAAGGCGGACATTCCGTCCTACGTCCTCAACGTGGACATTGCTGGGCCATTTTCGACAGGGGAGGATGTCGGAACGGGCAGAAAGGTGAAGTACGTGCTGATTGGGACGGTCCCAATCCCGCTTGGAGTTGGGGACAAGGAGCCTTCAGAAGCAGCAGAGCCGGAGGAGGAGGAGGACCCAAATCCAGCAGATTGGGAAGAGGAGGATGACCAACCCCGTGCATCAGATGAGGAGGCCAGGAGGCTCAACGACAAGGTTAAGGACGTTCTCCTCCTTCCGCTCTTCGAGCCTCCCAATGAGCTTTTTGAGGGACATCTTGATAGCCGCCACCAGTCCAGGCGCCCATTTCGCCCACGTTTTCGTCTGGATCAGCCTCTTGCAGAGGTCCTCCTCCATTTCTTGATGACCTCGGCCCTTCATGCCGTGGAGCTCC